TTCAGCACTCGAGTTTCCTTGCTGGAGGAGCCACATTGGCAGCCGGGAGGATTGTTGTTGAAAAAGGAATTTTAAAGGTACTTTAACACTATGGAAAGTTGCAAATAAAGTCTGTCTTTCATAAGGTTTTTTAGTTACTTGATTTTCACCCGTTTGAATGTTAACTCAATTCATTATTTGGTGAATATCGACAGGCAGTCTGGCCTCACAGTGGCCATTATCGGCCGACCCCAGAAAATTTTCAAGACTTCGTATCATTTCTCGGCGAGAATAATGTGGATCTCACGGATGTTAAGGTATAGAGAAGTTTATTATTAATCTATTGTTCTCCTCTGCTCTCTAATACTATGCATTAAACATGCACATCATGTTTGCACAAGAGAAATCAAGATTTATGGGCTGAATAATTTTGATCTTGTTTTTTCCAGCTTGATTCCATTGACGAAGAAGAAGAATCTATGGGAAAGAAGGGAGGTTTATACTTAAGAAGTAACTCCTCCGAAGAAGACTTGGCTGAAAAGGATCGGTTAGAGACGGTAGAAAATGATACTGTAGACTCCAATTCTCATAAAGTTGTATCTATAGAGGAAGAGACTTCTGCTGCAATAGAGATGCCTGAATCAAGATCTTCTCGTAACTTCAGTAAAAAATTTACTACTCTACAAATACCAAGCAAGGACAATTTCTTGGAGAAATTAAGGATTGAAAACACAGTGGCAGAATTAAAAACTCAGAATTTCTTGCTGGATTCACTTGTCGATGGATATGAAACAGCAGAAGAGTCTTTTGCTTCAGAGCCTCTTTCCATTAATCAAGAGCATAACACGTCCCATCAAGAACATGATGAGACTAATGAGGAGATCATTTCAGAAGAATCAATTCTCCAGAGGATAAATTCTCGTAAGGATATGAAGTCTTTTCAATTAGGGAACAAATTATCTTGCAAATGGAGTACAGGAGCTGGACCTCGAATAGGATGTTTAAGAGACTATCCTTCGAGGCTCCAGTGCCATGCTTTGGAGCAAGTGAATTTATCCCCAAGAACTAAAAGCCACTTAGATTAGACTTCACTTCTCGGAAATCAACACCGACAGGCATTGGTAGGGAAAATACCAGTGTGTTCTAGCTCGTCTCCTCTAGACAAATCGAATCTGTCTCATAATAGCAGTAACCATTATATGACACAGTCCTCCCTTTCTGTAAAGGAACTTAATAATGGAGTTGCTGTAACACAAGTAGTCACAGTTCAATTTTTTGATCGATCCATTCTTTTGTTTGAATAGAAGAGCAATTCTTTTATAGGAATTCTTACAACTTCTGTTTTCTCTTACAACATGTACTCGAGTTTTTGTTTCATCATCTTGTACATTACAAGGATGAACAATTGTAAAATTTTGTGGGTTTTAATACCCTTGCAATTTAGAAGAAAATATTGTTTAAGTTTCTTTCAGCAGTTCTTGATAGAATTTTTTTTGGCATTTATGCATGGCTTTTGAATTCTGATTTACATTTACTACAATGAATATCTCGATTAAAATAGGCTCCAAACAGTTTTCCGCGTTTTCTAACATTGAATTTGACTTGGTCTGTTGTTTTGAAGTGCTTACAAGGTACGGGAGTCAACTCTTTGATAAGAATGCTTCTAGTCAATTGCTTTTATCTTTGGAAAGTTTGTCTTTGCGTGAAGAGCAAGTTTTAGACCAGATAATGTAGATTTTCTTTCATCAATCCAAGAAGAAGCTATAGAATTTATGTCTGTTCAGCTGTGTGAGGTGTCAAAATTCCAGTTGCGAGACAGCAAAAGGATATGCCCTTATGAGGATTGCAGATTTGGACTCGAGAATCCCAACACTCAATTTTAATTTCAATAGCGACCATTTTTCTACATCAAAAGAGCCAATTTATGGAGAGAAATTGCACAAAAACACATAAGAAGGTGAATTCCAAGACCTGGTCCCAGAAGGCCATATTACATAATCCAAAAGATTTGTTCGCAATTATTACAATTGTAAGTTAACAAGTCAAATCAAATCAACTTAGAGTACAATCTATATAAAGATTCAAAAACACAATCAACTATTCAAATTTTCTCAAAATATACATTCTCGACTTTGTAAGAGGTAAATTTTAAGCAACAACAAACGGTAACAAGTATCAATTAGCCGTCAAGTAACTTTTGAGGAACTAAGAAGCAAAAACAAAGGTATGAAATTAAACCTTAAAAAAGACCATGTTGTGTATAAAGAAATGAGAAGTAATTCATACATGCTAGAAAATTGGTATATAATGAATAATGGACACATGTTAATTCTGATCAAGATGCAAAATATTCACAGGACTTCCATGAGTTGTGATGTCATGAAAATGCAAAACATAATAGATCTTAAACAAAATGCTTGTTTTAATTTGTTAACTGATTCGTGGGCAAGAAAATGGGAGGACATTTAACAGGTTGTACTGTCACATAGATCCAAAACAAAGGACAGTTACAAATAATTAGAATATAATCCATCAAGATCTTCAATAATTAGCTTATGGATCAAAGGTTCAGTTCATGTATTGCCAATTATGGAGTTCATATAGTAAGGATTATTCCCAACAAAAGCTCCACCTTATTCTGTTGTCGAAACATTCAAAACTAGTCCAAATTCAGAGGACGAAAACCTATTGTATGGGCATGATTTTTTTTTATGCTTTATACAATTGCTACTGTCGCTGAGCTTGTTCCAAGGATCGTCAAAACGGTATTTTTCGGACTCAGTCTAATGTTACATTTCTCTACCAAACAACTAATTCAACCGGTTCCAATCCACAACCAATATATTCACCTTGATTGTTTCTCAATCTCATCCACAAAGGACAAGATAATGGTGATAATTTGTAGCCACAAAGGCAAAAAGAAAAACAATGGAAGAAGGCACAAAGAGGAGGCTAAAATACACGAAGGAAGTCACCTATTTTCCTTCACTATGCAGCCGATTTTTCACCTAGAGAGCAGCCACGTTTTTCCCTTTTTTCATACACAAATCACACACAAAATTGGCTACGGTAAAAAACAAATATAAGTAAGGTTAGATTAGGCTTTTAATTGGACCAATAACAAAGCTCAATGGGCCAAAATTCAAAACCGTTCAAAAGGTAATATAAATGGGTCGAGTAGAGTCTTTGAACTTGATTGTTGATAATTATTTCACTTATCAACGAAGTCCATAAAATATATTCCCATGTTAATATCATAGTCCGAAATTTATTAGGTATTAAAACCCAACAGTTACATCATTCCTAAAGTACCATACTACCATGTTTAGACTTTAGTTTCAGTTTTCAGTTATATTTAACAGGTTACAATTGACAAGTGGTATTTAAAAAATAATAATAAAAAAAAATTATTTCTGCATTTTGATTTGCTGGCTTGTAATTGTAACCTCTTAGATTTTGTTCCATGCATGCATCTAAAGCCCTCTTCAATGCTTTGTGACATTTTTTGTGGTAGGAAAATGTTCCTACCAAAGCGACTCATGAGTGCTCTTTCAAGAAAGAATACGAATCTAAAGTTTTTGGTAGCATGTCTAAGGAATATATATGCAATCTTTGGTTTCATTTGGGAGAGTTTTTATGAAAGATTCAATTGAAGATTTTGACATTTTCAATGGAGTTTGTTAGGTAGTCAGGCTGTTGAATTGGTAAGGAGCCCTGTTTGTCATCCATTTTTTTCTAATTCTTTTTTCTACAGTACTCATTTTTAACCACACATTTTTTATTAAAATAATATTGCACGTAAATAAAAAAAATTTCCTTCTTTTTTAATCACACATTTCAACATCAATCACTATTCCATAATAAATTCTTCCCAAATAATTGACGACAAACACACCCTTAGTATTATAAAGGTGACTAGTAACACCACAAGAGATTTAGAAGATTAATAATAATTTAACCCTTCTCTTCTCGTAGAGGGACTCTTTAATAGAAGAAACCTTTCAAAGGCCATACGTCACTAATTTTCTTTGTTCCACCTTTTCCGAAATGGAAAGAGAGAGCGAATGGACTGCACATGGTGGTCGGTATATTTTATTATTTCACGTTGGCAGCAAATTTTTATGGAGCAATATATAAGTTCTAGTTCTAAATATTATATTTCATAAATAACAAATCCACTAATATATTTCAAAAATCAGGGGTAAATAAATTTATTAAATATTAAATTATAATATATTATACATCAATTATTTCCACTCTATTTCATCTCGCCCCCACTACACCACCTTCTCTCCACCAGAGATAGCCATCCACTTCAATGACTACTCCGACGACTATTTTTTGACCAATGACCTGTGATTAGTTCTGTTGAATTCGTAAACTGTGCACATTGTGACATATGAAATATGACTTGTAAACCATGAATTGTTACCTGTGATTGTCTGTGATTGTATGCAACTAACATGTGTTATCTTTGATTAACTATGATCAAATTTAGTTTCAGTGTGATTAATTGTTACTAAATTTGTTTTCAATATGATTATATGTGATTATGTCAATTTTAACCATGACAGTATGTGATCAAGTCATAATCGATCACAACTAACACAAAATTAGTCGCAACAAATCACAATAAATATATACTTAGTCACAAAGTGTTACCACAGACAAATATGCACACACCTAGGGATGTCAATGGGCTGAGCCGGCTTGCGAGTAGACGTTGTTTATATATATATATATATAATTTATTTTTATTTTTTTTTAGAACAAATAGGTAATTTGAAAAATAAAAAAGTAATTTTTTTTACTAAAAGAGATAGAAAAAATAAATAAGAAAACTTTATTTTTTTATTTTTCTTTTTAAAATGGATAAAATATAAACTCTCCTCCTTTATCCGGGTTTGGGACCGACTACTTAAATTTTCAGTAGACGGAGTTAAAAATTGTACACGAACAATTTTTTGTAGCGTATACAATTTTTTAAAGAAAATTAAAAGTAACGATAAGGAAAGAAAAATTTTATCAATATAATTAAATCAAATATCACTTACTTGACGACATGCAATTTCGGAATATTTATCTTATAGTCGGAAATGAGCGTCATGCCAATCCTTAACGCACATTAGCGCTTTGAAAATATTTTCTTTCAGTCGGTTCCTGACCTCGCTCAAAAGTCTTTTACCTGCACTAAAAGCAAACTCCGAAGTAACAGTGCTAACCAGAGGTGTCAGTAGATCTTTTGCAATCGTAGATATAACTGGCCAACGTCGTTCATACCTTCGTCAGAATTCAATTACTTCGTCTGAACTTTTTTTAATTGTTTTATCTGTTGACATATTCTGGTTGAAATAATCAATTAATTCAGCAGGCAATGCATTATGGCTTGAGCCTGTAGATGTATGATGAGAATGAGATACAGATGGTCATGACATGGCAGTGGCAGTGGTAGTAGATGAACACATTGCAGATGAATCAAATCTATACGAATTAATGCCTTGAAATAATCGATTCGATAGAAAGGAAGGGATAGTGTGTATTTTTCGTTGGGGATTTCCTGGAAAAAATCGTCGCATATTCCTTATAAAAGATATTCAGTCCGTTAGAATATATTTCCACATTTTCTTTTTCAATTTCAGTGGAAGGGTAGGTGCAGATGGTACCCGACTAATATTGGTACCCATTCGGTTCGCATATAATTCATACATTTCACATAATGTTTGCTCTAAATTTTTATATGTGATAGGTGTATCAAATTTTAAGGCGTTTGAAATTTGATCAATTATATATTTAGTTCTCGATAAATTATATCGAGGTCCATCACACATTCTAAAGGAAATAACATAGGCAAATCTTCCCAATATTTTCTAAATTTTAATTCCATAGCAATCATAATTTCACTAAAATCATGGTCATTTCTGTATTTATGAAATGTTCTTGCAATTATATAAAGACGTTCAAGTATCATACAGCCGGTGGGATAGTAAACGCTCGATAAAATCTTAGTGGTTTCATAAAAAGATGTCAAAATTTTTTTAACTTTCAAAGCTAAATACCAATCACGTTCAATCAACATACCATCATCATCACTTCTAACATATCTATTATTATATAAGTCAATTATTAAATGTTTAAAACCTTCACATGACTTTAATAACAAATAAGTAGAGTTCCACCTATGACCTACGTCGCTAACAAATATTTTAGCATTTTGCACTCCTATTTCGGCACAATAATTCTCAAATGCTTGTTTTCTACTTGGAGAGATTGTGATATATATTAGTGCATTCCTAATATTTTGAAGTTCATCATTTATATATTTTAAACCATTTTGGACAATTAAATTCAAAATATGACACATACAGCGAATGAAACAAATACCCATCAAAATCAGGTTGTAGTACCCTAT